AAAGATAAATAAAGAACGGCACGGACTCCCCCTGTGGCTTTTGTGGTGACATCGCTTTATCGCCTTCGAATTGTATTTTTGCTTGTTGTAAGGGATTTCCCTTTTTTGTAAGAAATGATCAAGAGATATATAAAAATTGTTTTCGGCAGTGGCTGATTGTGTATCAAGGCGGATATTGGGGGATTGTGAAAGCCATTTGTAAGCCATTAATGTGTTTGCCCGATACATTTGGTCAATGATCTCATTAACCCTTTCCAGCGTGTTTTTTACTATCGGTGCTTTCAGAGGTTTGAAGTGAACTCTGTTGTTGAGTTGCACTTTGGCCTCTTGTTTTTTCTGTCCTATTCATGACGACTAGCGTTGTGTTGCTTTGGTGAGGTTTAAAGCAGAGTTTGCTTCAACACTTTCAGAGCCGTGACCTCATTGCGTTACAAAGTATTATTTGGCTTACTACAGTCTGCAAGCTGTATTATGACAATTCTCCAAGTAGCTCTGAAGGGCGATAGAAGACTGAACCGGTGGCATTCAGTTTGATATGAAACGGTAGTGGTTCTTTGTTTTGTCCGTGAAAGGTGTAACGGAGGCGCATTGGTCTTGCGAATAAATCTCGCAAAACTAGGCCTGATTTCAAATTCGTTTGTCACGGGTGTTGGGATGAATTTAGGACCCTTTGATAGCACGCTGACTTGGCTCTCAGATGGTCCATAGTTTAAAAGTTTTTGAAAGAATTCTCATTTTCTGAGTTTTTTTGCTGCAAGCCTATATTTTAAAGTGTTTCTACACTCTATGTGTCCTCAGCTGTTTGTTCTACTTTCGCTGTTATTAAAGCTAGCTTTTTTTTTCAGTCAGAGCACACAATTATATTTTTCTTCTCTTTTGTGAAAGTGAGCTCTTTGAGGTCAGAAATCTAATTCCTCAATTCGGCTATTTTATCATTCGTATTTACAATGTTCACCAAGTACTTTCCTTTGTATAAGGTGTTCTGCCACAGAGTTGTTAAAGGTGGATATTGATCAGCGCATATGTAAAGGTGACAAAACCCGTCGAGGTTCGTAGACTTCACTTTCGTCGAGATCGCACTGAGGACGGTTTTTCTTGTCCCTTCTTTTGAAGGGTAGGCACTGAACCCAACAGAATTCTTCGCCTAGATCCTTCGAGGTACACAGATCTCTCGAAACAGTCCTCCGAGAAGTGTTCGGAATAGATCACAAATATTCCTACAGGATTGTAGTTTACTCGGCGAGGTCGCACAAATCGCAACCGTTTTTCCCGCTCTGATCTATTTGCAAGGCTCCGATACAGAGAAATACCTACAGTATGGTCTGCACGATTACTTCAGCTTTGAATTACGCATCGATGCTTTGTCATTTTTGTTTAGTTTTTGTAAGAATAGAGTAAAGCATTCTGTTATGTTTACCTGACATTTTGCCATGTTAGATTTTCGCGTTGAGCCTTTGACGTCACTTCCTCTGAGTCCTGCGATCAATTTCCGGAACATGGTCAAATAATGGCGGACGCGAAATCGTGAGTTTAAAGGCCCGAAAAAAGATATTTCTGGTGCTCGGTCTAGACTGAAATTTGGCAGAGTAGGTGAAGGAGACTGAACACGAAAATGATAGAAAATAATGTACGAAAATTTTGATCTCAGGGGCACTTTAAGTAACATATTCATTCCAACATTGTTTCCATTTTCCAGTAAGCGCTTCTATTCTGTTTCTATATCCTCCATGACATTCATTACTTTTCAATGGTGTGTTTTTTTCTCGTTCTTCATATTAACCTTCATCACGGCGGTCTTCTTCTATTTTTCAGCGTGCAGAGCGTCTATGACCAGGTGCGCGTATGAGCTGCCTTGTAACATTAACAACAGATATGATCCTTGCAGGTAAGTTTCAATCAAAGAAGTGGATAGAAAAACCTGAACAAAATTCGCGCTTAGATGGAATTCAAACTTTTCTCAATTGTGATCAGACTCCTTTACGAGAAAGAAGAACTTACTAAAATTTGCTTGGATTAGTACCAACAAGTTGCTTCGTTTTCTGGGAGGCACGGGTTCCAATCTCGTCGAAATCTTGTCTCTTTAAATATAAACTTGTTCATACCGTGTCATTAAACGAAAGTTGGTCTTTGTTTGTTTAAACTAATTTCTCCTTCATCCTCTTTTGCATTTTTCAGCTACACATTCGGCACGCCTAATAACTTTTCACTTCGTAAGCTTTGTCAGCTTGTTCAAGATCTCCTATCTTGATTTGAAAACAATCACTATTACCCCCGGTCTCTGCCGGATTATGCAGGATTTTAATCATCGTTGCCGAGGAGGTAGCGCAAAAAGATTTTCAATACCAGTGCCTTAATCACATCGATATAGATATAGATTATCTGAAGGCCAGTGACAAAGACCAGTGACAAAGAGTCCTATGGGTACTGTATGAATATAGTTTAAAAAACTGGAACAGTGTGTGAACTATAAATGCGACATAAAATATCAGTGAGAAAGAGCCGCCATGTAATGCGGACTCTGCGTTAAACAGCAAAAGAAATTATAGGTTGTAATACGCCGAGTCCATTCCCAATAACTGGTATCATGATGCTAAAAAACTATAGCATGCAACGAGCGTCAGCCGTCAAAGATCCCAAACACAACGGAAAAATATCGTCGGTTCAGGAATTTATTTTGGCTCCGATCTAAAACAAAAATCGGGTGAAATTGATTAGAAAACAAAACACTCAGGCTGCCAGTTAAATGTCGTACTAAATAAGCGTCGCAGCCTGTGTTAGTATTAATGAAGTCAACTAAAAACGCAAACATTGACTAACTGAATGTTTCTTCAACGTTACTCTATCATAAGCCGCAACACGCTCCGGGCGAGCGCTTTGTTTCATGAGTACTTTTAAGCGCCAACCATGTACACCTTTTTCGCATACCGCTTCTTTAAACTATCTTTTCACGCCATAGGATGATGACATGATTGCGTAAGAGTTGACGCCTCTGTCATATTAGAAGCGAAAGACGATCAAAGACTTTACCCAAACAACCTACTAGGTATCCATGCGGAATAAAAGTACGAATTCTCGGATGGATGCCTAGATATTTTTGGTTGTTAGCGGCGTGAGGCTCGTTATGTTACTTCATAACAAAAAATGCTCCCTAATGGTTCTAGAAAGTTCTAAGAGTTCTCTGAACGTTCTAGAAAATTCCTCAGTGCTATTTTAGTAACTATGTAACACCACGCTCTCCATAACATTCGCTCCTCCCTTCCCCCACCCCCCATAAGTTTGAATAGTCAGCCCCTAGAGGGAAGTATGTCTTACTAACTTTCGATTCAGTCTCCAATCTCCATGCTTAAGTATCAGAATGAAATCTTATATACTAAATAAGGAAAGTGAGAGGGGAAGGCATAAAGCTCAACTGGGAGTTTGTCGCATAAAAATCCTTAAAGAAGGAGAAAGCTTCAGAACTGTTGGCTCTGGATGCATAGTCAGAGGTTTGCGGGATGAGTGCCTGTGGAGAGAGAGATGTTGCCTTGTAACGAATAATAAAGTCCTGCCTGCGGAAAATTTTCATCTTCCTGAGTGTTATATGGACTTTAGAAAGCTAAATTCTACAAAGATCAAAACCATCAACCTCGGTAATATTGCAGAACCGAGAGCGTCTATTCATCGACCCGCATCCGGCCTAGTCGCCATTCTCTTGAAGAAACCGAATGTTATTTGGGGTAATCGGTCCTGGCGGAGTGTTTCTACCAAGCGATCATTCCCAAAAGAACTGAATGATGAGCGCTCGAATGATTTCCTGTGTCAGGTTGTGGATGACGCCAATGTAAACTTATTTGATGTGAAATCTTTCACGCTGACGAGAGGAGACCGAGAATTTGTTCTAAAAGATGGGCAACTGGTTTATAAAAGCTTATTTGACTTTATCGGTACTTCCAATCGCAAGCCCTATGGTGCTGTCGTTTTAACACGTGGTGAGAATCCTAAAGCTCTTGGAATCTTGACCTGCTCAGATGATGCAACTAGCACGATTTTGCCACTCTTGTTTCCTGACAGTCAAATAAGATGTTTGAGTAAGTATAAGAAAACTTCTTTCTTAAATTTTAAAAGTCAAATTTACTTTAACTATACATTACAGCCGACTCCACTCTTTCGAGTTTCCACTTTTCATCAGGCAAAAGCACAATTTTAAACTAATTTCAAAAATCTTAGTTGTTTGCATATGCAAATATACAGTCGGTGTGCCAAAGCAGGACCAAAGAGGATCTCAGAAGGGAGGATGGCAAAAGTTAGACAAACGGGCCCAAATCAATGAAAATCAAAAATATATGTCATGTCATTAAACCATCTCTCGATTTTTAATAGATTTTAGTTCCAATCATAACTTTCGCTTGAAAATTTGTTTTGCTACTGACCGACCCACACAACGGGGGTATCTGAAACGTCATTTTTATTGTCTTAAGTAGACAGAGAAGTAATTCAGGTTTTTGTTTATTATACAAATGTCGTTAAAGTGTTTTGATTATGAAACAAAATCAAACAGCTCTTCTGACGTATTTTCAACGAAAACAGACTTGACCATAGTTTGTAGGGATGTTAGGATTTATTTAGGCTTTATTTCTGAAGGAATATTCTCAAATATTAAACTGCTTGCGCCTCGAGGCTAAGATAATTTATCACGTGGCAAAGACTATATTTGCATGTATATGTCAAACTTTACACATGTTTATGGCCCAGAAAACCTTACATTTGGGAAAATCAACTTCAGAACTATCTCAGCAGAAGGGTTAATAAGAGGATTCTTTGACTGCGATGGCTCGTATTTTCTTTTATTATTTTCTCAGTTCGTGAGCAAACAGTAGTCTACAAATCCTGCGATCTGATTGGTTCCGACAGCGGGCAGTATTCTCCCATGCGGCCCGCTCACAGCGGGCGGTATTCTACCCGTTGCGTGTTGAGTCGTCTGGTGCATCCATAACTTCGTTGCAAACGTTGATGAATATATTTTGTTTTACCGGCTGGTAAGCATTTGTAAGCAGAGATTTCGGTCACGACCTATAGGCGATAGATAACTTATTAATTCTCTCCTCTTTATCTCTCAAAGAAAAAAAAGAATTGATTCGGTACCAAATCTGTTTTTAAATAGATTGACATACGACCTACAAAACCGTATGTAATTCACTACTCGTTCTCAAAAAGTAACTAAGAAAGTTTAAACGAGAGGTATTTGCTGTTAACAATCACACGTATCGTTTTAACTGATTCATTTGATATCAGACTGAATTCTCCAAACAATTTGTTCCTTGTAAAACATTGAGCGAGGGTTTGAGTTCTACTGTAGATAAACTTTCGTTAATTCTTTGCAGTTTCCAACCATTCGCATATCTTACCGAACATTTTACGACAGGAACCGAAAAAATTCGATAATTTTAGGCTGCAATATATCCCCTTGCCCAAACTAGTGTTGTTGTTTTTTTCAAAAGTGTCCGCGGGCTTATTTTTTCCTTACGCGCTTTCTAATTAATAGGTGTCAGATCTTGACAGAAAATGTTTCAGTGTTTGCTTAGAAGCCTTTTAGATCACCCTTATCAGTACGCAGATAAAAATCTTTTAAAGTAAAGCCTCTTAATTTGCGTTACCCCCGTTTTCTCCACCATGTGTTCGCTCAAAAAATTTTCCGTTTAAGGACGATGTGAGTTACAGCCCTAAGTGGGTTACAGCCTTAAGTTATTCTATTTCTTTGAAAAGCATTTTGTTAATAATATGTTCATGTTGTCCTTTAGAGGCTTGTTAAAGTATATACAAACTAATCAAATGAAGCCTTACACTGCTGTAAAAAGTAAAAATGTTTTGTAAAAGTCCGAGCTTTCGCCGGTCAACGGCGTCATGAGAGATAAGAGAATATTCCGGGCGCGCTATATATATGTAAAAAGAGTGTGTGGTGAAATGTACAAAAGATGTGACTATGTATGAAAGCTGCTGGAACAGCAGTCTCGAACTCATTAGATGTATCCAAGCCGGCGATCTCACCACAAACGAAGCACTACCATATCCATCCAGCCTTGATGTAGTATCCCTATACACCACAATACCGCTATAAGAAGCCATCACCAACGCTATAGATAGAATCCAGAACCCAATACTCCACCTCTCCAAACAAGACATCTCAGACCTACTCCAAGTCACGCTAAACAACATGTACTTCTCATTCAGAGATCGAGTTTTCCGCCAAAGAGAAGGCCTACCGATGGGTTCTAACAATTCAGGTATACCGGCCATCCTGTTCATGGACAAACTAGGAACCATCGCCCTCGCCTCACACCTAATGATAAGCCCTTACAAGAGATATGTTGACGATATTTACCTCCAAACAACCAATGAAGAAACAGTACACCGCTTCCACCATCTAAAAGAATGGCAACAACTCTTTCAAATTCTACAGAAAACCAGCCAAGAAACCACTATTCGTCCGCCATCAATCAGCTATCCCCACCAAATCAAAACTTAACTTCATCCGCAATGAACGAAAACACATCGAGGATAGATGCTCCTCGCACATATCTGCAACACAACACCTAAACACATTCGACGATATCCGTTGTCTTTACGGTTACCCAGAGAACAGTATAGAACAATCAAAACGCCCACAACACCCCCAAAGAGACTCTCAACCTGCCAACACTGAATGGTCATACCTCAAGAACACGTACAATCCTGAACAACTCAATCACAGGATTACTAACATCTTTAGAAAAGAAAACATCCCAGTACGCATTTTTCACAAATCCTACACGCTCAGGCAAGCCATATCCTACATCCCCAGAGTACGCAAATGCACCAGAGACAAATGCCCATCTCTAACACCGTATTCAGTTTACGACGAAATGCAGTATACCGGCTCCGCCATGTAACAGCTACAACCAACAATACACTGGTAGCACGACACGCTTCATCCCCAACCGCGTAAAAGAACATCCCAACAATGAAAACTCGTCTGTAAAAAAACATATCCATTCTTGCCACAAGAAATTGATGTCAAGATTATTACGAACGAAAATGACTCAGCTTCTCTACGCCTTTATGAAGCACTTTACATCAGAGTGTACGAACCTACACTCCATTCCCAGGAAGAATGTAATGAATTCGCAGACCTACAGATCTATGTATCTCATTTTCTAGACCATTTTCAACGCTTTTATAGGTCTTTTTTATAAACGGTCCATCATTAGAGCCTTATGTTCCATTCACAGTTTATTTCTACAGCTTTCATACATTGTCACATCTTTTACACATTTCACCACTCACTCTCTTTACATATAAATAGCGCGCCCGGAATATTTTCTTATCAGTGATGATGTCGTTGATCAGCGAAAGCTCAGATTTTTAAAAAGCATTTTACTTTTTACAGCAGTGTAAGGCTTCATTCGATTAGTTTGTATGCATTTTGTTAAGTCTAGGAAAAAGAAATAAAAATTTTATTCACCATCCTAGATCGGTCCGTATCAGGAAAAACTGTGCCCTCTATTTTGATCCATGGCCTCGGGCACAGTTTTTCCTAATACGAACCTCCCCTCTGGTGAATTTTATTTATAACAGAACCAAAGTAAAGCGCGTGCTCTGATTGGTCAATTCAGCGTCCACCATTTGCCCATGGGTGTACGCTGCTGACGTGAGCAAATGCAAAGACTACTTCTCCGCGCGCGCTTGCTTTTTCTGTCATGTAAGATTTGTTAAATAGAAGAAAACTCTTTTTCAACAGTTTATCAACGTTGTGTAAACGCCAAAATGTACACTATAAAGGCATGGATGCACTTGGGAGGTTTGCTAAGCACTCAAGGAGCTAGAGTCGCTCTCGGTTATCGCCTCACGCGACTCTTACGCTTCTTTCGGGCTTAGCAACATCCCGCGTGCATCCATAACTCAATAGTGTATACTGCGGTGTTTACCGTTTGTTAAATATAAACTAATAAATTAAATTCATGCTTTTCATATGTTTGTTGTTGTTTGATTTATCATCTACGGGTTGATGTCGAATTAATTTGATGGCCTGCTCCCAGTTGGCTTGTTAGCTCAATTGGTAGAGCGCTGCACTAGTATCGCAGAGGTCAGTGGTTCGAATCCCGTACAGGCCTGAAATTTTTTTCAGGTCTGATTTTCACTATTGCTCAAATAGTGCTTTACTGCGAAGGATCGTGCACATATACGTTTCATAACCGCAGTTCATACATATATTTCAGTTAACCAATGTTAACTAAGGGCCGACAAAATCACGCAAATAGCCTTCTTTGGGGTTTGAAATAACCTTATAGGCACCATTAGCAAGCATTCCCCATGGTACTAACCATAGTCTCAGAGATAGATTAACCTACTGTGTATCCTCACAAATGACTATATTTTATTCTTATATAATTTCCAGTGCCGTGCGCAGGTGAGCCAGCCTTTTTAACCTCGAAAGAAGAAAAAAGTGCCAAAGTAGGACAGACGATAACAGGTGTGCATATTTCTTTTTAGGCGTTTTTATCGAACTGGTCTTCAGTCCCAGGATTTTTAAGTTGAAAGATAAAAAATCACCCCAATGCATACCAACAGACGTTTCCATAATACGCAGGTCATGTATAAATACAGGGGATATACAACAGACAGCCCAAGCGTGCTGTGTGTTTTATGGGTCTAAACGCCATAAACGGGAATACCTAGCATATTTAGATCGAATTTAAGCGTAAGTGCGGGCCGTTAAAAAAGTAAAAATTATAAAAAATAAAGAAAGATTAATAGAGAATAATGAAAGCAAGAAATATTACGTGTCAGGTCTCCTTACCTTCTCCGTAGCCGCCTCATCACCGACGGTCATTTCAACGCTGTTTCGGCGACTTTCTTTGGAACGCTTGTGGTGCTACCGGTCAACTATAGATAGAGAAACACAAGGCTGGTCACTTCAACCGGTCGTGCAGGGGACTTTCGAGAAACGGAACCCGAACACCAAACGTAGCCACTTGAAGGCCGAGAAATTTCACACTAGTCGACCGATCTCTCTCAAATTTCCACCCACGAGAGCGCTCTGCTACTACCTACCCGTTCGAGAGGCAAAAGTTTTCAAAATTCGCTGCATCCGTCCGATAAACGTTCCGTTTTATCACCCATTCCAGCTAAATTGCTTTGTAATGACGGGTGATCCTTATGGCCTAACTATGGGATTCAAATATCGTGGTGCTTGCGGTCGAATTACACGCATGACTCCCCAGAGGGTGTTGTTTGGCTATAGGACGGACGAAAAAAGCCTCCTACCGATCCCCTGAGAGTCATTTATTTGGTTAGACGTGCTTTGTCATTTGAATCCCTTGTGTTTTTTTATATATATATATATGTATATATACGTTGCGCTTCATATCATAAGTGACCACATCGTCAGACAAACGATAATACTTTGATATCATCGCAGTTTACTACGATGGTCAGCACAACCCTTTTACGAAATGTATACTAGTTATGGTGTGAGAGTAATATGATGTACAACACAATCATTGTACAGGTGCTGAGCTCCACTTTCAAAATTGAGAGTTCGAGCTTTGCAAATAATGGTTAAATTAGCAGTATTACACATTTATAGCTGCTTTTTATAAGCTTTGGAGTGAGGGAATGACTATTTGCAAGTATTTTAATCAATGTTTAGATTCAGATTCATCGAAGACTTTACCAAACCCGGGAACTTCAATATCAACTGGAGCAGGAAGTATTATGGAAGGTGATGTCTTGATAGGTGTCCACAGTATCTGTTTTACTTAACTGAGATGGGTGTGCGATCAATCCGAGTTGAAAGAATACCAACATGAGGAGGGAATTGTTTGAAATACAAATATATTCCGAAATTGAAATGAAGTTTAACTACTTCGCGTAGCTCAAATAGAAAATAAAAATGAAAAGAGATGGAGAACAACTTACCTGCGTTATTCACTGGTATAATAGACACAATCTTTTTTTCCATTCGCCAAGTTCATCAGTTTTTCCCAATCTCTTTTCATTTACTTAACTTGTTACAAAAGAATTATTTTAAATGAAATTAACAGAGAAAAACTATGTCCTGAGGATGCCTTCATATGAGATTTTCCGACATTATCGAGACAGTAGAAGTACTTAAATGTAGCTTCATTCGCCTTAACTCCATTGATTACCCTAGCTGAGCCACTCTCCTCACGAGCCATGGCAGAAGAAAGTAACACACAAGAAATATGTGACAAGGAAGAAGAATTTGCAGGTGGGAAAGCTCTGGATTATGGCATAGAGCGAAAAGAAATTTTGCAGTTCTCGAATACTGATTAATCAAAAATAAGAACTGAGAATTTAATCTGTCTATTTCTTTTCCATAAAAATGATTTGCATAAAACCTCCTACTTTGATCTTTTTTGCCAACAAAACAGTAAGAAAAAGGCCAAACACGGTCCTCTATCAGTGCAAGACGTCCCTGTTCGATGAGGGAAAGTCAATCATGCGGAAATATTTGCAAAATGTAAAGGACATCTTCATATCTCGGCTTAAAGGGAATATTTGTTTCGTCCGAACCACCATGACTTAAAATCAAGGAACGCCAGCACGTCTTGCGCACTTTCAACAAAAACAGACTTGACCACAGTTTGTGAAGCTGTTAGGATTCATAACATAACAATGACTATATTTGGATGTGTATGCCAAACATCACACGTATGCAAGCTCTACAGGCCTAGAAAACCTTGTATTTGGGGAAGCCAACTTCAAAATTCTCCTACTAGAGGCTACTAAAATAACTCTAAAACTGCGAAAATAAGAAACTAAGAAAATTCAAAGAGGGCTTTTGAAGCGAAAAAGGTTTCAACTTACAAGGCCTGGTCTAGAAATGAGCCTGTAGAAACGTATTTACATTCGGCGTAACTAAACTGTAAGTGGCAATGACAAAGAATGTAAATATTTTCCTATTGGTATGTTAGCACGTGGGCCGCTATGGCGTTAATTGAGGCTTTTGTTGTATGGTGTATTTAAGGCTTGACATTTGTAATGTATTCATCTCAGCTCTCGAACTTTCCTAGTCTTATGTTAAATTTTATCTTACATGTAATTAAACTGTTTTACCTCTAACCCTCAGACGTCGGTGCACCTGCATTTGGATGGGGAATACGTTCCCATTTTTCCCATTGGGTTTTTGGGTTTTCGTATCAGGCGGCGGCACACTAAGCGTTTTAGCCCGAGCGATGATGACTAGTTGTTTACTACTCTGTGTAACTTTGTCGGACGGCATTTAATACTCGGGCTCCAAGTTCGAGCTGCACAACCACTCTTGTGTATGAGTCGTGAATTTAAATAGGAACTTCAGAATCTTGGACATGTAAAACTCCTGATCGGTTGAGTAGGTTGTAAATGCGTTTTCTAAATCCATACTTTACAGATCCGAGGGCATCTCTGGACATAAATGACAGCAAAAGAGAGGCGGAAGGAAGCGTTAGGAATGCCTCAGAATTAGGTAAAGTTCGCGTAAATCCATTGTTATCGTTCACCGAGCATTATTTTGAGAAATTATCAGCTTTCCAGAGTCAAGCTATATCATTACGTGAAACATCTTTAACGAGCCCTACAATGACTCTTCAATAGTTTGCGATTGATGAAGCCATTCATTAACATGGGTTCTGCAAAGTTAGCTGGCATAGATATTCTAGAATAAAATCATAGTACAACAGCACACTTAGGACATATTAGTGTTAGAGGTAAAATTATATTAGCTAGGGGCCGACAAAATCACGCAAATAGCCTTCTTTGGGGTTTTAAATAACCTTATAGGCACCATTAGCAAGCATTCCTCATGGTACTAACCATAGTCTCAGAGATAGATTAACTTACTGTGTATCATCACAACTGATTATATTTTATTCTTAAATAATTTCCAGTGCAGCGCGCTGCTCAGACAGCCTTTTCACGTTCAAAAAGAGGAGAAGGTGACAAAGAAAGACAGCCGGCAACAGGTGTGCATATTTGTTTTTAATCCGTAATGGTCTTCATCTACATGATTTTTAAGTTGTATGGCGGGATATTTTTACTTTAAGTTAATTCAAGTCCTTACCTAACTTGAATTAACTTAAAGCGCCACGCTCAACCAGTGTACTTTGCACGCTATGGTTAGTGTTATCATCCGGGAACCCAATACTTTTTCTTGCACACCAAACGGAAACGGCAAAGAATAGCACAAGGGCACAAGCTTTTACTAATATGTTTATGGCAAAAATTTAAATAGGCTATTATCACCCAGAACACACTTAAAGTGTTACTTTGGAAGAAGTATATCAACGACGTTTTCTGTCTGTAGAACAGAACCAAAGACAAAATAGAGGAATTTGTAAGACGGGCAAACAGCCACATTCTCTCAATAAATTATATTATATGTTCGCGTCGTTCATCATCTAGCTGTTCGTTTTCTTTCCAAATGCTTTTGCTGTCTTTCGCTCATTACATGCTTTAAACTGATCTAATCAGTTGCATGATACGGCGGCTTTTGATGGAGCAGGTTTTTCGATGGCTTCATTATCGCGAACGCGGAATGAAACCACACAAATACGTAGTAAATAAACGATAGACTCTTGGAGAAACCACATTAGGGTATGAAAAAACCGATTCTCAATCAAGATTGCAAAGATTTAGTGGAATAATGCAACACACATGGTATGTTATCCTTGGGAATGGCCACTATTCCCGCAAATCATTCTGGTTCAGCATGGTCCTTTCTTGTCCTTTCTTGGGGCCAAGAACTACGGGTAACGCAAAAGTACCATATTCTGAAACTTTTCCAATGAAAGTTGAATAGAAGATCTCAAATTATCTGTGCTATTTAACAAATAAAAATATAAATTGTGATATCTACATTCTCAGAAATAATGATGAATACAGGCAATGACACCCATTCCGTCACCCAAGGTGCAGAAAAGGACAATGGAGAAATAAAAGGTGAAGTAGTATCAGAACTTTTATTTTGAGTTACATCTATCACAATGGAGCATTTGGTGACAAACCTCAGTTGACAATCAGTTTGCGACCACTTCGCATAAGCGACCACTACTCTCGTTAGCGACCAACTTTTCAAAATACTTCAAGTTTCTGAATCAAATCAATATAAACGGAAGCTCTTCTAGGCAACCATCTCTCGTCAACAACTATCTATCATAAGCCAACCCCATGGTTTCCCAAATGAGATTCCCCGTCAAGAAAAAAAATGTATACATTTACATATAAATATTGTAAATATAAAAAATGTTTTCTGTTAAGTAAATCAATTGATAAATCAGTCGGTATGTTAATAATCGTATTTCGCGAATTAGGCCCCCGAAATCCCCCAAAATACAGTCCAGTTTTTCTTTTGCGCCCTATCAGCACACAACTGGACTATTTTAGAGCTAGAGACGCGTACGAACCTTTCGAACACAATAAACATATTTTTTCTCTCTTGTTATATTCTAGGCGTGCTTTATTTACACTATTATATACGAAATTGATGACTGGTTTTCGTGTTTAAAACTTTAAAAATCATCTCATTTCGTCTCATTTATATCAATTTATTATTTATTATTTATTTATCAACAGTCAGGGTATCGCTTAAGATTGATTGTTGCCCCGTTGAGAAAGCTGAACAAAAGGAAGGACATCTGACGGCGGTAAATCCTGATGCGATACCTGATAACCTTCCCACAAAAGTTCTAGCCGCAATTGCAGATAGATATCTCAAGTACCTCAAGCCAACTAATAGAGAAGGATTCAGCGAATTTTTACAGTATTTAATCGATGTGCGTAAGGTAATAATCGTGGGCCTCGACTTTGGAAGCCTGATTATTACAGTAGAATGCAGGTCCTTGAAAATACTTGATGAATTGTGGAAAGATTATCGCACAGGTTACCTTGCTAAAATGGCTCAACAGTACCTCGTAACCGACTACATCCTGAAAAAGTTCGAGCTCGTTGATGTTAAACTTACTACCACTTTTGACGAGGAGAATTACAGAGTTGCCAGAGAGAGAGCATTACTTCTGCAGTCTGCAGGTCAGTTTGACAGCTAACTGCTGATTGTCTTTTCTTTAAAGAAATAGCTGAGCCGTTTCCTCAAGACACAGGTTTTTTTTCTTGTTTTGTTTCATTCTTAGGAAGAAAACAATACCTCTACTTGTCAATTCTCAATCAGATTTTGGCGACTTTCAAATGAGTAATAACTCAAAGTCCTCTTGATCATCCTCTTTTCAGATTTCATTGATTTACCAATAGCTCCGACGTATGCAACGATTCATAGTTAATTTCAAAAGTCTGTTTCCTTCTGTGCCATAAAGGAGGAATAGTTTCATTATTTTCTGGTCGCTTCATTTTCAGGAATCTCGAAAACTATATGGAAAATTGAGAGAAACATGCGTTTCAACCTATTGTATTCCGAGCATATTGATTCACAACAAGTCAATAAGAGGAGAGCCATCTTCTTTCCATCACGTTCTACTTTTCAAACGGTCTGGAGGAAGGTCCTCCATGATATTTTGATTTTGGTCTCGTAACTTCTCAAGCATTAAATCCAAGCTTTTTAAAAATCAGTAGATGCCAAAAGCTAGGAAATGGCCTTTTAGGTGGCTCTGTTGGGAAGAAAGCCTTGTGTGACACTCAAAGGACTAAACATAATGGTCAATGCAGAGTTACCAAATGAAGGATCGAAGGATCGAGGAGTGAATTGTCTTGTCACATAAATAGTTGTTTTGCGACATTTTAAAAATACACACCAAAGTCTGTTAGCTATTTAGGGTCATTTTCCGAGGGGCGAGGCAGCGAAGTAAATTTCCGGCGCTAGCCACTGACACTGAGGTGAATAGCTGTTTAAGTATGTAAAAAAAATGAGATAGTATAGCGAAAAAAGGAATTTCAATCTGTTTATTCCTGCAACGATTATGATATTTCTAGGCGCAAATTCGGTATGGGTTGCTCAAAGGTGAATAATTAACAACTATTCACCGAAGTGGAGGTGGTTAGTGGTGGATATTTACCGAGCCGCGAAGCAGCAAGGTAACTGAGGTGAATAATTGTTTTAGTATATACTAAAACAGTGACGTAATATGCACCACCAAAAATTAATTTGAGTGATTTCTTCGCCTGTCACGGATGCAAACCGGGACGCCTTTTTTTCCCGAGTTTCTTGGAGGTGAATAGGAAAGGATATTCGGAGTTTGACTAGCCAATCAGAACGCACCTTCAACGCTATTCACTGTTTTGATATATACTAACAATGGATATCCGGAGTTTGAGAAGTAAATCAGAGCGCGCTTTCACCGCTATCCACTGTTCTCACCATTTTGAAAAACCTACATGTAAGTTTATTGAAACAAGGGCATATTCTTTAACAGCTATTGTCTTAACGTGCATGCAGAATTTTTTTTTCATTATCAGTTTCAAACGTATCAAGTATTAGGGGCTGTAGATCTTTCAAGGTGAATTACTCAGGTTTTGTAATCTTTTTTAACCATGTTGATGTCATCAACGTTCCTTTTACAGGACATGTTACGGTGAAGAAAGTGTTAACAGCCGGAGCTCTCAGTGTAGAAAACAAAAAAGAATCAATGACTACAGAGGTGTTTCCTTCTACAGGTGCGTGCACTAGCTTAGGCAATATGTCCCTGGTGTATCGAATGACAAAAACAAAAATCGCAGAGAACAAGTACTGTTGCTAACTCCTTCACTCTGAGGTAGCATTTTTATTCAGTTTTGATCAATACCACGAAATTTCATAGCTTAAAGCAGCTGACTGAAACCTTTTGACCCTGCTATTTTAAGCCATGAAATTGCAAGGTGGCTATTCGGTCAGCATTTGGAACACGATGAGTTTTGACGTTTACCTTTCTTGACATATCTTCATAAGAGCCCATTTACTTTGTTCCAAAGGGTGTTGTAAGGTCTTTCAAACAATAGCAAAGATTCCTTGTGATCTTACCTACCAACCTCTCGTACACCCTCTTTTTCGATCATTTTAGAGCAAAGACCACTTTCATAAATGGCTGCCGTGTAAATATTCTTTTGCCTAAGTTTAAATTAGCCCTACCGGCCTTGCTTGAGATAATGTATTCTTTTCAATTTTGTACTGGAGAACGAGGCCAGTAGGGTTCATTTAAATTTGAACAAAAGAATATTAATCCGGCAGCCATTTATAAAAGTGGTCTATTGCACAGCTTAATTTGGACTCAATTTACAAAAGTGATGAAGGAAACCTAGTGGACTTTATTGGATGATATGCAAGAATATGAACCATTTGTTATTCATTCAAATTATAGCGGCAAAATAAGTAACCAAAAGTCCCGAGAACCGAGAACTGAGTGCGCAACAAAATAAAGAGCGATATTTTCAGTTTGTATGCCAGATTATCATGAGCAGGCTGGGTCACGCAGGCATGCTAATCATTAGGCAGGAATACTGTCCTTAGACCTTCATAAGACTTGAGGCCTTCTAGCTCTCATTTTGGGTATCTCTTTCTTCTAGGTCGTCGATTTTTTGCTCATAATCTCGCATTGATTATTTCCCTTGTTCATTCATGCCATTCTTCTGGTAATACTCTTTTTCTCTTGCTCCCTAACTTTCTTGTACGCCTGTAAACTTTTCTCCCATAAAGAGCGTGTGTCACTCAATACTTTTAACTCAAGATTCAGAACTTTCCTCGCCCTGCTACTATTAGTCACCCACAAATTACCTCTTTTAAAGTTCCAAACTACACTCCCAGAACTTTTCGATAAAGTCATAACAACTTGCACTCTTAAACAGTCAAGAAGTTTACCATCTCCACCACGACTCTAGAAATATTTTTAGTTTTTGAAACAACCGAATTTGTACTTTTACCCGATCAGATGCTGATACCCCAAATAGAACGGCTCAACGAGCAAGGGGAAGCAGAAAAAGAGGGAAAGCGCCAGGTAACTGAAATTCACTATTGTTTTGCAGACTACCCAAAAAGTTTTGTTTTTCCTGGTCATTGGAAATGATTCTTCTTTACCCAGATAATATGTTCCCTAAATGAGGAACTCTCATGTTCAAACTGAGGAAGAAGAAAGAAGGGACTGCGAGTTTGAATTCTGATCGATCTGCCTTCAATTATGTCGTAGTTATTAGCAACATCAAAAAAAAACCATAACACCTGCTTCATCCAATACATAATCAATAACACAGAGTCCAGGGAAACCTTCCGCTAGCAGAATTATTTTCCATTAAATAACACGGAATACGGGATTTAAGTCAACTAACGGAACGAGAGAGACTTAGAAATTTCAACATACTGAAAAAAAACATTTTTCCCCACAATTTTTTAGAACTTATTTGAAACGGTGACCCACTATTTTACCTTTAACTTTAGCTTCACCTTTAACTCGTCGGAATTAGACCTTTTCTTCTCTGCACCATTTTCTCTGAGTTTTGCATGATCAGAAAAAAAATTGAAAGTCGCAATTTTTATTTAAAGAAATGCACCGATAAGTGTAAAAAAAATAATAAAGAACATTTCTTGTTGCTTTGCTATCGTTCTACATGAAAGGCTTTTGGCGCTCGAACAGCTTACTTATTTTTTTGCAATTAGATCGATATGTATTAGTATTCACGGTAACAGTAAATTTAGTCTCAACATTTATTAAACCCCGCTAATAAAATAGAAACGACTGGCTATAGAAATGAATCAAACTGTATTTTAACCCTCCAACTCCCCCTACTTGGGTAAAGACCCAGCACCACAGTTTCTTTAGAAACTTTTAACCTTTATCTGCTTGGGTAAAGTTTGTCCTTTATTTTTCTTATTTAACCATGGTCATCATCGCAGAAAACCAGGACCAGAAAGGAATTAAAAAGCTTCACTCTGCTGCAAAAAATGGTGATGTCGCTGCGATTGACTCTCTTCTCTTACTTGGAATTGGTATTGACGCGAGAGACGAGTCAGGCCGTACGCCACTTGTGACAGCTATTTTAAATGGCCAGCTACAGGCAATCAAGTACCTAATCGGAAATGGAGCAGATCCTCTGAAGAGGAGCCATGGATGGAATTCATTGCATTGGGCCTCATTTTTTGGTCACACTGATGTCATTGAGTTCCTGATTAGACATGTACCCGATATTGACTCAAGAGCTGATCAAGATATGACGCCGGTGTTGATAGCCACTCGTTATGGTAAATTACAAACGGTAGAGTTCCTCATCAGTAAAGGGGCCAATTTGGATCTAAGAGATGACAGAGGATGGAGTTCGTTACATTGGGCCTCAGATATAAACCGCACTGACATCATTGAACTACTGGTCAGTCACATGACAGATACTGACCCAAGAGACACCAAGGATAGGACGCCGTTGATGAGGGCAGCCTGGTATGGAAAGCTACAGGCAGTGGAATGCCTTATTGGTTTAGGCGCCAATCCGTCATTGGAAGACGACGATGGATGGAATTCGTTGCATTGGGCATTACTCAGTGACAACACAGCTGTTATTGACACAATGCTCTCTCACGGAGTTAGCGCTGAATCCAAAACCAAGAAGGGTGATACCCCACTCATGTTAGCACGAAGATATGGTGTTCCAAATGCGATCACTTATCTCCTACGCAAAAGTGCAAAGTCTGACTGAATAAAGAAGCACACTGGTTCTCGTTAAGTCATGTTTAAAGGACTAAGAAACTTTGCAGGCGTCGCTCAGTTGTTGGTTGATGGTGAAATTCATACTAAATTGATTTAACTTAATGGTAACACAAAAAGATAAATTTTAAGATTAAAAACTAGATAATATAGCATGCTTTAAAATTCAGCCTGGCAACTTCCGAGTTATATCAGACTTTGGGTTTGACTTTCGGGTAGACAATAGCGTTGCGTAACTTTCGTTTTATGGTTACTTCAACTATCCGTAGCTTTGAGGGTCTCAGTTTTGTTCTTATCATGAAGGTTACTGAGCAAGAACCGACGTTCAAAACCGTCGTGAATGACTAGTTGATGACACAATCAACCCCTTTATGGGTAGGCAAATGATTAACTGAAGAACTATGTGTATAGCATAGTTTTGAGATGCAATTATAGAAGACTATTAGCCAAGTCTTTCTCATCTCAGAGCAGCCAAAAGGCAGCGAATGTGCTTCTCAAGTAATATTTTCATCGATAACAAAAGTTGAAGCATCCGGCACTTTAAAGCCTTTTAAAGCATGGGTAAAGCGGAATGGAAAAAATAGCTTTGTACATTTTTATAGATATTTTAATCAACACGCATACCAATGGAGGAATTGGCCGTAGTCGGCTTTTTAGACAATATCGTAGATAAATTTCGTTCGTCTTCAGGGAAACAAGACTCTTTTAGGTACGACGTCGTTTGATACCATTGTAGCTTGGGAGGAGGCGCTCATCATTGCTACCTCAGCGCAAGGATTTCCCTGTCCGTGGAAAGTATGGGCCCTCGAGCGAGTCGAGCCAGCGAATATGTATGGGGTTTAGCACTGATGTTTATAAGTGCCAAACCCTGGCAAAATTCTGCTTGATCTTTTTTCAAATCTTCTCGCGGTCGGAGAAATGCACGTTCTGCAGTGCTAACTGTGCGAGGGCCTGGTCACGGGCCAAAAGAAAAGAACATCGCATGGAAAGATTTTCACCAGTTCCATAAAATATTATTTGTCGGTACTTAATACTGACGGAAATAAGTTAATTTTCTGATTCGTTAGTCATTCAGCTTGTAGTATACGCATTAAAACAGATATATATTCATATTCATTAAGAAAATATGCGTTCATCTGATGTTTTGTGAGAATAGAAAGGGTTACTTTATTGTTCTTGCCTGAGCAGCGAAGGCTACGCCAATGGATATATTCAAACTTTTCATTGTCAGTCACTTAAGAATTCCGTTAAGTACTTTTCGGGATTAGGACAGTAGAATTATGTATGGACACAAACTGAAGCCGAAAGATACGACCAATAGTATATTTGGTCACTTCGGAATGTCCAGAGAGATGTTTCACTGATATTATGTATGGTTCACTTTACTGTTATCATAATTTTTCAATTAAGAAAAGTAAATATAAATATTTTCTTTCTTTTTTTGGGTGGGGAAAGGATATTTTGCATAAATTAGTTTACGGACTAAAGTTAAGAGTAATTACGTCTGTTTGGAAACTTAAGATCGTCAGTATGTATTGATAGTATCAATACATTCGATTGCTCTACATTTCTCTACATAAATTTATAACATAACCAAAGTAAAGTGCGCGCTCTAGTTGGTCAATTTAGCGTCCCCCATTTGCACATGGGTGTACGCTGCTGACGTGAGCAAATGCAAAGACTATTTTTCCGCACTTGCTTGTTTTTTCTGGTCACGTAAGATTTGTTAAATAAAAGGGAACTCTTTAGCTACAATGTATCAATGTTATGTTATAAAACAAATGGTAAACACCACAGCGTACACTATTCAGTTATGGATGCACTTGGGAGGTTTGCTAAGCACTCAAGAAGCTAGAGTCGCTCTCGGCTATCGCCTTGTACGACTCTTACGCTTCTTTCGTGCTTAGCAACCTCCCGCGTACATCCATAACTCAATAGTGTACGCTGTGGTGTTTACCATTTGTTAATTTGACTGTACAATGAAAGGAGAGAATATTATTACATCAAGCTGAGGTCTCTGTTTTTAAAGCTGCATCTCATGTTACAATGCTGTTGAAGGTCGTTTTTTATAGATAATAGTGGTTGATACAATTGTAGCTGACTTGTATTTGATAGAGGTCATTGCGATTTCTCATTTCTAAAATTTTTTTGATTGAGTTTTTGTAAAAAAAAGTGAGGAAAGTCTGGTCAGATTGAGTCTATTACAAGATCTACGAATCATTTACCAGGGAGGTGCGGTTGTATACTGTTTCCCGATTTTTTTTTTTCTATCGCTATACCCGCTTCGCGGAGATGAAGATAACACCCAGAAGAAACAATCTGCATCATAGCAGATGTTCAGACAGCATTAATTGATGTTAAAATGTTCTTGAGTTTCGTGAATGTATCCCGATAGATAGTTTTTCTCTCTCTTCTTTTCCTTTCCCCCTAGTTTCTTTTGCTGAAATCAAATGGGACCTGTGTGAGGCCATAAACTAACCAATTGTGTTCAAAGTACTTGAAATCGGCATTGATGTTGACTTAGACACCTCCGTGTACGTTCGTTTACTTCGTGAACATTTTTATTTCTGCCCCGCCAAAGTCGAAAAATTTAATGTTTTTTGTCACCCTGAAATAGTCTTTGAAAATACAACAAGTCGTCAATATAAACTTTGTGTTATCAAAAGAGAAAAGTGAATTGTTTTCGCTTTTTAAACACGATTGAAAAACACACTTTTTTCATCCTTTCCTCTTTTTTTTTAGAAGCCCAAAAGGGACATTGTTTCTCGCTTGTATAATCATTTGCTCTGATGAAGGGCTCACGCCCGAAACTTCACCTTAGAAAACTCTCCATGAGGACAATTAACATTATCAACTCCGTTGATAATTATCTTGCAAGATCCCTTCTCCCCCACTGACGCAGCAACAGAGTTTTTTATGCTTCCCCCCTCCCCCTTATTCATGTATTTCATATTTGATGTCACGAGTTAAGGGACATCTCCGAAGAAGAGTGAGAACGAGGTACAGTACGTGTGGTTTCGCCCCGATACAAATTCACCCTCAAATATTACAATTCGTTTCCTTATGGCAGACAACATATTTGTTTCCTGTCCAAATCATGCAATATTTCGAATTCACGACTAAATCATAAGAAAGTTCGAAAAACATTATAGTTTATACATGACTACTGAACAGTTAATGCTTAACTGCTACATTACCTTAGTCTGTCTCATTGGTTTGACCCGAGCTTATACAAGAAGTGTAAAAAACTATTCTAGTACATCTCAAACAAAATCAGACCCTTTGCGCTTTTATACATTTGCGAATTCCTTTACTTTTCTCCCCATGTTTGAAGAGTTACCAGTTGATACAGAGGATAAGAGGACCAGAGGATAAGTGGGTGCAGATGGGCTACTCCGGGCCAAAGCAATGCCTTGGAGAATGAAGAAAACATGGAAGCCTCATATGACACCGCCACTGTAGATGATCTACTCGGTAAGTCCGAGGATGACGAACAAATCCCTCCGAACCAAATACCTAGCAGAACTTTCCCAGAATCCTTACAATATAGGGCGAGGGCCAAATTAAGATCGGACGAGGATTTTAAAAAAGATATAAGGCAAATCCGTAACAACGCGGAGCAAGAAGCAGAAAAGACCATCATGTGCTTCCATCAACGTGAAATCGGTCGTTTTAAGACCGAAATAAAGAAAAGAAAACGAACCAAAACGGCCGGAACACTGAACACTAAAAACTGTAGTACATTGCGCAAGCTGAAAGCAATCAAGGCAAAGTAACGATCGAGACAGTAAAAAAAATAGCTGTTAATCTACATCTACAAAGGCGAACGATTCGAAAGAGACGCAATCCTTGATGTGCGTACTCATTTTAAACAAACTGAGGGATTTCAGTATACACACTATAGTTCCTGTCACCCACAAGGAGTTATTAAAGGGGAGGCCCTTAAACTTCTCAGAACATAGTTTCTTCTCAGAACAAAATTCCTCTCAAACAATATTCGAGGAGAAAATTGTAAATTTCAAAGCGCATTTGCTTAAGAGAGGCTACCCAGAGGACCTCGTTCACACAACCCTCTCAGAGGTGAATTTCAAAAACAGGAAATTAGCTCTTTAACAGAAACAAGAGACGGACCAACGAATCTTGCCTTTTGTTACACAATACCAACCATCAGTGTCAAACCTAAAGCAAAATATCATGAGAAACTGGCATTCAATAGAAACAATCACAACTGAGCGAAATATACAAAAACCCACCCCTTGTATCTTACTTAAGAGGATGGTCGCTCTAATACATACTCGTGAGGGCCAAACTCTGAATAGGCTATCAAATATAGGCTTTGAATTGAGATTGCTATTGAATATAGTCTTTGAATAGGCTATTATAAACACGCGCTGGGGATTCGTGTAGGCCTGTCAACCCCATTTTACATTGACACTATAATCAACTACCATGGCCGTTTGATGGAGGCCTATGCTCAAAACTATGCTGGTTTTTTTTTAAGTGTGCTTTTCAAAAGAAAAAAGTCTAGTGTTAATTAAGCATGATATCTTCTCTATTTTGAAGTTGCATTTTTTTTTCAAATTCAGATATTTGTACGCAGCCTACCTGAAAGGAAAGAGAACAACCCGTCGATCTACTTGCTGCGCCTGCTGTTCTTGGTGGTGTTGTAAAGGCGGTAGAGGATGCGCAGATGTGGGATGCGTGCAAACAGACTGTGTAGCTACATGTCTTCAAGCATGCGCCTCGTGTTGCCCGAGTAGAATTCCTCATATCACAAATTGTGGGGTTTCACAGTTCTCTCGCGAACATTCCTATGTGCAGAGATGGTACAATGTACTGCAGTTCACCAAGGGAAACATGCAGTGAGTGCTGAGGGGGCATTCAGTATTAATCTTGTGGGGGGGAGGGGGGTAAAATTTTAGGGGAGAACTCATGGTTTGCAAGGGTAACAGAGAAGGTATCAGTCGTCCCCCCCCCCAAAAAAAAAGCAGAGTAATTGGGCGGGGGCAAATAAAACTAGCTGCGAATGGAGAAAGAAAAATCATCCGAATACCACAATGTTTAAGGGCCTCTTCATACGGCCCGGTTGACTGGGCTGGCTCGGTTTCCGAGATCTCGCCTTACCTCTAAATCCTTTTAGAGGTAAGGTGAGATCTAGGAAACCTGGCCAGCCTGGTCAACCGGGCCCATATGTAGAAGCCCTAACTGGGGATCAGTTAGATTCTATTATGACATAACCAAAATCCTCCTTCTCCTCCTCCTCCTCCTCCTCCTCCTCCTCTCCCTCCCCTCCCCTCCCCCAGATGATTAGCAGTGACCCTTCCCTGGGATCATTTCTATAGAGCTGATGGAAATAATCAGACTAAAAGAGATAAAGCATGTGTTGACCGGCCGTTTAAAACTCAAGTACAGATATGATCTTTGCAGGTGAGTTGTAGCCTGAAAGAAAAATTTCGAAAGCTTTGATATGATTCAAATCTCATTTAATTGTGACCAGACTCTTGTACGGTAGGGAAGAATCCACTAAATAATCTGCTTGGATTGTTACCAACAGGTAGCTTTGTTTTCTGGGAGGCACCGTTTCAATCTCGTCAAAATCTTGACGGTTTCTTTCACTGAAGCTCACACACGATGATCATTTCCCTACATGAAAAACAAAACCCTGAAATTACCGACCACCTTGATATACCTAATGCCGTTTACGTTTCACCCTTTCAGCGTACGCACAGCTGAATTTTGTCTTCCGCTGTCCCAGTTAGACGAGGCATTAGGAGACGTCATCGAAGCAGCCAATCTGTACGCCGATAAGTTTTCCCAGTATTCTTTGCTTCCCATCTACGTGCGTTTAGTAAAGACACACGATTTATATCGAGTCCAGCCAACGGGAAATGCCCGCAAAGGGGACAACACGACCACGCCTGTTACATTGAGGTAGGTAACGACTCAGTGGAACTGCAACTATTTTTTTATCGCTTCATATACATTTTACAATGCTAACAGTACCTTGCCAGAGGCGGTGTCAGTTACTTGACACGGCGGGAGGGGGTCTGGGGGTTGGGCTCCAGACTGACGACCGCAACCCCATCCCCTCCCCTTGCCCCCAGCTTTCCTAACCACTCGGCCAAACTACCTTCCTCAGAATGATGTTCGACTTCTTACACTGCATTTTTACCGGGTGCATTTGGGATCGAGGAATACCATAAGACCGTTCAGGATAAACTGTACTATAAGTATAAAGCCCGGCCTCATTGGAGCAAGAACAATCACCACACCACAGGGAGAGTCATTGAACTGTACCCAGAACTTGAACAATGGAAAAAAGTCTTCAGAATGTTCAACTCCACTGAAATATTCTGCAATGAATTCACGCATAACATGGGATTTGACACATGTATTGCGGATCTCGTAAGACCTATGAATGCTACGATCATTGGGAAAGAAAAAGATGGTCTTACAGTAGAAGATGTCATTACAGTTATACCAATAAACTGAATAGAACGCTTAGCTCGCGTTAAACCGGTGCGATACACCCGGTTGAAGCGTCAGATCAATGGAAACCTGTATCAAAACAAATTAGGACATTAGAAAAACAACCGGAAACGCAAGCATTTCCCTCAGCGAGAGAAGGGCATTCCCATAATTATGTGCTACCTAACAGAGTATGATTTCGTGGTCTGCAAATTTTGAGCATGGTACGGAATCTTACTTTTCAGTAGTTAATTCAACAAAGCGTGTTCCCGGACCCAAAGTCTAGAAATATAGAGTGAGTACTGGCCTTGTGTGGTGCACAACCGCGGTACAAACAATTTCTCTCTGAAGAAATGTCCCCATTAGAATTCCTAGCTCTGATATTATGACAATGAGACACAGAGAATTAAGGGTGAGATAAGTTATTACTAAGTTCATTTATGTGACACGTAATGCTAAGATCGACAATGTGAAAACTTCGCAGAATTAGACGAGATACGAGAGATGATGAATTTTGGCGTCGGTGATGAAATTAAGAAATATTGTCTCTTCCTGATTTATTCTGAGTATAACAGATCAACAAAATAAATGAATTTTTTCTGCTTAATGGGGTCAGAGTTTAACGGCCACGGCGTACACTTTTATCCTAACTTTTTTAAACCCCCTCCACGAATGGTGTTCATTTGAAGGTATCGAAAGTATTTGAAGGCAAAATTACTGTATGAGTGAGCTGTTCAACGCTTTTTCCCCCCAAATTTTCATTCGGAGGACAAAATATGTGGAAAAGCCCTCAAGAAGTTTCTCTTTCACAGAAATTAGGCTGTATAACCCGTGCAGACACAAGCTGAAGTGTCAATATCGACATCTGGTAGGTCTATATCGTGATATTTTCTGTGCCTACAGTAACTCATTGCCGTCCTTCATCCGCCTGGGTCCCAGTCGTTCGCCAAATCCGTTTCCTCCAGGTGGCCTGCTTAGAAGTGCCCTTACCAAGTAACTTTGATACTACAATCTTAACGGAATTCATAAATTGTGTGTTGAATTCATACGACCACTACATCTGGAAACCGTGTAGCGTATTTTTAGTATGTTCTCGAATGATGATATTGAGAACCAATGTCACGATTCCCGTCTTTTCTAGCTCTGCTGAAATAATTTGGTCGGTTTGTTGTTTGGAATATTAAGTTTCCTTCAGATTTGTTGCGGTAATTGACGAAGATGTTCATGTATTTATAGAACAACACTGAAGAAAACGAAACACTGAAAAGAAAACGCTGAATGATCTTAAGATAGTCAAGGATTTTCTCGAAGGCAACGACAAGCCAAGAGAAATAAGGTACATTCCCGTGGAAATTTATTGTCTACATATGAGGCTCTGTTAGGAGGGTACCCATGTCCTCCGTCTGAATTTCGCAAGCAGCTCAGTACGTCGGCATTTCGCAAGGTTCTTACGTCGCCTCTCGGAATTTCGTCTCGGAGGAGTTGCGTCAGGGAATTTGACCTTGTAAAGAAAAAAATGCAAGGAAAAACATCTAGAGAAAAAAAATCAACATGATACCATTGCAAAGGAGAGAATATTATGGATTAACAACGCTGTCTATTTTAGCGCCTATCTACATTGTTATTTGAAAAGGGCTACTCAGAGGTCCAAGCAGTCTGGGCGTATTACACTCCTTCCAGATGATGAACGCAAGGGTATTCTGCTAAAGACCACGTCTGTTTAGCTTTCATCTTCGGAGTCAAGGTCGCTAGCCTCCTCGCAACTTCCTTTGTCTGGCAGAAGATCTTCCACATCATTTCGATTTCTAAGAAATGTCTCGTCTGATATCTTTGTAAGTTTGACGAAGTTTTCCCCTCTCTCAAAATGTCCTCCGTCACTTTATCTGCTATAGCATCTCGGTGAATTCTCTCTCTTTCTTTCAATGTAAAGAGAAGACAAACTTTAAATTAGGGCACAAATAATTGAACATCACAAAAATTATTTTGTTCCTCGTTACTTATATCAGCTCAAACAATTCCAGCAAAGAAGGGCCCTTTGTTGATAACTCCACGAATGTGAGCACGTTTTACTATCAAAACACAATTGGCTTCGAATAAAACTGCTACATTATCAGATTCAGGCTGCGTCTTTGTGTTCTCAGAAGCAACAGATGAGAGGTCGTCAGTAATGAAGAAATCCAAAGGCCTTGGTGGAGGATCTGGTATGTAGTATGCAAACAGTGGAAGAGTACCGACATTATCATTGGTACTTTGGTTTCGGACGGTTAGATAGCTTTTGATAGATAGCTTTATCAGGAAGTAAAATTATTTCAGCACCCGGGCCGGCTGAAATACGACTTACTTTACAATGGGAATAAATTATCTCTTCCTCCAAGATAACTACAAAAGCCGCAAAATGTAATCTACAATAAAATGCAATAAGAGAAGTATCAAAAACCAATATACAGTTAGTTGACGATGTTGGTGATGACGTGGATACCGTCAGTGGCACTCTGATAGTGATGTATTTTAAGAATTCGCTTGCGATTTGGAACACCAATATGACCCGATATGAATGCAACAGATGAAGGAAAATTGATGGAGCGCGCACGTGGGTCATGCGGTGAGACGAACATGATACACAAAGTAACGCAACTGAATAAAGTCAGTCAATCAAACAGCCACGTAGCTGGCATTACTAGTTAAATATGAGTTATTATTAATTCACTGTTATTATCAAAGTTATTATCAAAATTCACTGATTACTGGAAATACACTGTTTTCCTGTACATCCGCTTGTTTTCTCGGAAATTATTATTTCTTGATTGGCCCCCTTGTCACAGCTTCCTCCTTTTATTTGCATATTCAATTAACCGTGACGGTAGACAGCGATATCATTACAGTGGAGGTCTCAAGTGCCATTTGACATGTGAAATAGCATCGTACTTATCTGTATTTTATGAAAGCTTCTTCAAAGGGTTGGCGGAACACTATAAAAGGTAAAGTGCTATACTTTTTCGCTTGGGTCTTCTTTCGGGGATTTAATTAGTATGTGGGACCCATCAAGTGCTTCTACAAACTGAAGGAAGCGACTAATGTCTTGAAATTCCTGTATGGATTGCCTTGTTACGGCCTCAGTCTTAGCAAATTTGATGAAATCATTAGCTCTTCTCATCAAGGCAGAGCAGAATTCGTCCTTGAAATTCATGGCAGTGCATTGGCCTATTCCAAATGTTTATCGGACGAATTTCCAGTAGCTAACCTCCAAAAAGCAACAGCCACCCGCCTCTCCACAGTGATTGCTTCACGAATAATTGTATCCTGCCGCATCGGCTGAGGGCCAAAGAGACCACATATGTGTTCAAATGTATGCCTGCTTACCCTGAAGTGCTCTCGCCATAGATGATCTTGATATCGGTTTAAAAGAAGCTGTTCAAACCAAAACCGTAGTCTTGGCTAAACCCACATTGTCTTGTGCTTACGGCGATTGCGGTTTTTTTTTGTTGCTGGATTGCCCGGATTACAACAATCCGTCGCATCCACTCCATTACTCGAGACATTAGTCGCATCCCCTGAGAGGAACGACGTCTCCTTCGCAGAAATATGGCGAGAATCAGTCGTTGAGTGATTGAAACTGCTTCGTCAGCTCCCGCCATTTTTTCAAAAGTTGCGCGCTTTTGTAATTTGAATGTTCTAATAAGTAAACGGCTTAAATTCCCGGTTAAATTTCACCGTGAAAACAGGTGTCAAGTTTAACTAGCAAATGTCGGTCTGTAAACAAACACCAAGAATTAATGTTCAGCTAGAAAAGTGGTCTTGTCAAAACACACTTGTAGTGAACGGAGGAACTTGAGGCTAAACTTCAGAACACCCGGAATAGCATCTATTGTGTTATGCTTCATTCTTCAAAGCCTCCCGACACATGTAAGGGCCTGATTACATGAGCCGGGCTGGCCTTGTTAGCCGGGCTGATTTCTTTTGTTTTGGTGTTCGCCAAAGCGTGAAAACAAAAGAAATCAGCCCGGCTAACCGGGCCAGCTCGGCTCATGTAATCAGGCCCTAAATGATGTGGACGGGTATTCTGAAGTTGCTCCGAACTTGATTTCGATGTGTAGTGCGATTATACAGATTTTTTGCGCCTAAGTGGTGAATCGTAATTTACGTCCCGGCTTTGCTACGACTTCCCTGCGGTTCATTAGAAGTCCATTGCATAATGCTTCCTTAAAACCACATTCGTGATAACTTATTCTGAAATATCTTTAATTAAACAACTGAGTGGTTACAGGATAGAAATTGAGCTTACAAGAAAGAATAATTCAAACAAGATATTATGCTCCATTGATTAATCCGTAATTGAAACGTGACAAGTTCGCACGAGGTTTTCCCAAGGGAATTCAAAATTTGTGACTTCCGGAATGAGAACTATATTATGAGAACAGTATGCTTTCATTTCGTCAACAAAAGAACTGGCATTACTTTCGAAATTGCCCAACGCTGCTAAGCAAATATCTGATATTCTCATAATAAGTTTCAAAGAACCATCATTAAAAATTCCTTCAACATTTTGACTTCCGGCCAAGAAGCCCATTCAAAACCTTGCTCATCCTTTATTTATTTATTTATTCATTTTTATAAGGAGTTATTTTGGTGCTGAGGCTGAACGGTCTTTTTTTTTTTTTTTCGCGATTTGAGCCTGAAAACGTATATAACATGTTCTTAAAGTCGTGTGGTATTTAATCAATTCGGACGTGACCAAATTAGGTTTGAATTTAAGCTGAGTTGTACAGTGTATCGTTCATGTTGAAAAATGTCCTTAAGTATTTGAGTTATTGGTCCTGTTAGAACACAGTTTTACGTTTCTTTTACCTTTATCTATACTTAATATACAAAAAATATACTATACAAAAAAATGAGCCGTTCACAACTGACTCTCAGCCACGGTACGTTCTTATTATGTTCTTGAAATTTTGGCTAATCTCAGCCTTAACTTTCTTTTAAATAAAAACGTGATTTATCAGGAAACGGATGTTAACGCGTTTTCAACATTGAATCACAAATTACCGAGAACATGTAAGCGTCGAGGGCTATAGCAATAAGCATGTGCAAATGTCTTCACGAACCGAAAACTTAATGAGCTTGGGATATGCAGAGTATCTAGAATAAGTTGTTGTAAAAAATATTTGTGTTAAAAACTGCTTGCCCACATACGAATCCCTCGATATTCTCCAGAACAATAGACATGACGTAAAGCTCGTCAAAAACACAAAGGAATTATTATTCTTCGGACATTTTTGTAAAGAAATCGGAAAAAAGTTGTGTTTTAGCCAATGACAGAGCTAGAAAAAACCACAGATTGCTTTCGTTCTTACGCGGACCATTACTTAAGTTCAGCGCCGGAAACCAACGTAAGAATTCTGAGTAGTTTGATCACTGGAGTCTTTTAACCCCACCTGAATTCTCATTGTGTCAGTGGTATTGTACGCTGGAATAAAGGCATTTCATACTTGAAATAGACGCATAACTGCTTGAACTCGGGCTTCTTTGTTTAAGAATGTATTCAAAGTCAAGTAATCTAACAAAGAGTGTTGTTTAAGTTACGTTTTCAACAAATTTAAGCCAAAATCAGGTCGTTTGTTTTTCTAACTCCCCACCACCGCATGCTTCTTTGTTCTGCTTGTTCTTATTAATGCATAGGAAGTGAAAAGCGCTGCGCACAAATATTGTCACAAAAAGAGAAAGAAAACAGACTCATTTCTAACACGTGTAGATCAAAATAGATCACTGACGACCTAGTCTGAATAGATGTTTACAGTTTATTTGGCGCATTGCTTTTAGAATAGCTCAAGTGGTGAAATGGATTTATCTATATATATATATATATATATATATATATATGAACAAAGAGAATAAACATAAAGCAATAATTATTTATTTTCGATAATTTTAAAGTCTTCAACAGTACTTAAAATTCTTTTTTACAAAATTGAAAACAACTATCTGTAACAATATTTTAATTATAAAAGAAAATATAAGATAACAAATGAGATGCACTTGAAAGCAAGTCTCTTAAAAAGATAAAATTGACAACTTAACTGTTACCCTGTCGTGAGTCAGATAATAATTAACTGGAACATGGTTACTATTGCTCTGTTTTTTGTATTTTGAATTTATTTCAGTTGTTTATATATCATGTTTGTTTGCTGTATCCCTTATTTGCTGTTTATCAAATAACATTTTTTTTTAGTTGGTTCCATTGTTTCATAGTGCTGTTTATTTCTCTGAATTTTCATCAACTTTTTTTAATCATTTCCATCAACATTTTTTACATGAACATGTTACAAACTGTACTGTGTATTGTTCTGAAGATCTATGTTAACTTTGAATTTTGCAAATGACATCAACAAGGGAAGGTATACCATTTATGCCTTTAGTGAACTGAATTGGGGGTACGTGACTTTCATTATATATTAACAAGAAAAATAAAAGAATAAACATACTTCAGCTTTTTCATTCGTTAGGGTGGCCAATTTACCGTCAACTGAGTTGATATAACCAAATTACCTTGTTACCCCCACCGAAGCAGCACCACAGTTTCCTTGTTTGGAAACTTTTAGCCTTTACACTTTGACCTATTTGTGGATTTTAAGATACAACTGAAACAAAAAGACTCAAAAATCATGAAAAAAAACCCTGTACATTCATTGCTTAGAATATCATCTTCAAGAATTGATTTGCTTTGTAACGTATCTGACGATACTTCAAATTTCTCATTTGAAACTAGTAAAGTTACTTCATTTCCACAAATATCAGTTGTTTTTGGCAAATCATTAGTTGAAACTTTTCTTTTAAAGATAGAAGATCACACAGCCTTTTGTCATTAGTTTACAATACTAAATAACTTAAAGTATTGGAATTCCAAAAGCAAGATGATTTTATTGTAGAATAACCGATATAGTATATGGCTACTGAACACCTTTGATTGAACTCCTTAATTTTTAACAGTATTTTGACAAATTATACCATTTTGAACTTCATTGATTTTCACCCTTTTACCTCAAACATGTCATTGTTATGTATACTCTTAAAGTATTATGCCAAGCTATTCAATGATGATACTTCCAGAAGCACACAAGTACCTTTGCGACGTCCTCTACCATGTAAATCTCTTGCATGAGAGTAAAATACTTTAAAACCCATGTCACCTTTACAGTAAATAGCAACAGCAATGCACCCACATGTACTGTGAAATGTGAAGTTTTTGTAGTTTTCAGATATCAAAGGCTCTCTGCAAAAAAGAACAATATTGATAGCTCTGTTTCTCCGTAGTTTCTTGGTGCACAGTACCAATGTAGCTTTCACTGTAGTGCAGTTCATAATTAGCATCAAACACATTCCGCATTGTTGGTAATTCTGATAGCATTAAGTAGGACTGTCTGGCTAGTAGAGACAAATTTAATCACAACTGATTCCCAATACTTATAAGTGCAACAAGATTATTAGTAGATTTAATTCCTTGTTTGTTAGAGTAAATCAAATAACATAAATTCATCGGAACACATTGTTGTCCTGCATTTTTTCCAAATATCAACTCATAACCTTGGCTATAAGGTGCTGCAGCTGTCTTGCTAGGGTCAATATACTATGGAGTAGGACCAGGATTCTTTTCTATATCTCTACTCAGTTTAAATTGATTGAATGATTGTGAGATTAATCGTGATTTTCATCGTTGATTGTAGTTCGTGGTCAACTGCCTCTCAAGAATAAAGATTCGTGCAAACAGTCAACTTTGGTTTGCTATCTCGATCTGTAAAATAGTCCCCAAACACTTCGTTAACCGCGTTTTGGAGCGACGCCCCCTTGAACTTGAGAATTTAGATTTTTGGTCGCCGCAAACGTTACACTAGCTTTTACATAATAATACAGTTTTGATGGTTTAGGTATGGTTGAATCACAGGCGGCCCAAGCTCTCTTTGAGAACCACACACGGAACACAATTTGCGTATCAATTTATAAGGATTTGTATGGGATTTTCTACAAGATAGCCATAGAGATAGTTAAAAGTGAAAATATTAAATAAAAATGGCTTACCTTATTCCATACGTGTATTGCTTGCTCCTGGTGTCGTTATTTTACCCATTTCACTTGATTTAATCGGTTTTTTTTTAATCCTGGTTTTCTCTTCTTAAAGAGAAGACAAGGCCGAACACTTATGTCCAGACAGCCTCCCGAGAGAAGTAAAAAATCCCGAGCTAAAATGACAACCTTTGCCCCTGAATTCTGCGGTGGATTTGTGGCCGTGGGTACATTTTAGCTCGGGATTTTTTACTTCGCTCGGGAGGCTGTCTGGACATAAGTGTTCGGCCTTGTCTTCTCTTTAAGAAGAGAAAACCAGGATTAAAAAAAACCGATTAAATCAAGTTAAATCGGTAAAATAACGACACCAGGAGCAAGCAACACATGTATAGAATAAGGTAAGCCATTTTTATTTGATATTTTCACTTTTAACTATCCCTATGGCTATTTTGTAGAAAATCCCATCCAAATCCTTATAAATCGATATGCAAATTGTGTTCCTCGTGTGCTTCTCAAAGAGAGCTTAGGCCGCCTGTGGTTGAACGAATACCGTCGTTCGTAAACAAGCATTCTTACCTTTCTGCTCTTGTTCTTCACACGTTCCATAGTTCATAGAGGTATTCTACTTGGTTTTACGATCGTGTCTAGATACTCGACGATGCTCATGGATAGGTTTTACACTTACATTAGATAGTTCAGTAGATAGTTCATTTGATATAGCAAAGTTCTCGATAGAAGGTTCACTCAAAAGTATTTGCTCGTAAGTTGATCTCTCGTAAAGTGCACCAACCCGTTCCGAAAACGCTCGACATCTTTTACAGTGTGGGTCTACCATGAACAGAGTGTGCTTTTTACGTAGTTGGAGCGCACGAGAAGAAATATATTTAACTTTGAATCACGGTGCATCTTTCTGGCCGTCATGATAACCATGTGTTTTGAAGCTTGCTCGGGTATATACGTCATGATTGAATTCCGTATAGAGTGGAACCCCGCCTTACGACCACCTCGTTAATACGACCACCTCGTTATTTTGACCACTATTCTTTTGCCTGGCAAAATGTCCATACATTTTCTTTTAAAAACACCCCGTTAATGAGACCAACGACCACTTTTTTAATTCCCAACCTGCCTATTTCTTTGTTTTTAACCTCGTTAATACGACCACTAATACAGGTAAGTGGCAATAGAAAATAAATCGTGAGTAAATGTCTCTTACATGTCATATTGTTATTCAGTAATTTAAACAGCAATTAAATAGCTCAAGTCATTTAGAAGGAAAAGTAATCTAGATAAACAACAGTGCACTTATTACATAATGTTGGTGTTGATATTGGAACATAAGAGTCATCGCACATGAAATATGACCCTACCCGTTAATACGACCACTTTATTTTGGTGGTCGTATAAACGGGACTCTACTCGATCATGACTAAAACACCACACGAGTACATACGGATAACATACGAGTAACATTCGGATACATACGAATACATACGAAGAACATACCACTAACATACTGATACATACGAATACATACGAGTAACATACCACTAACATACAGATACATACGAATACATACGAGTAATACGAATGTTTTTCTTATAAAGGAAGCTCTAATTATAAGCCTTGCAAGCATTTTTCACGTCAGCAAACACGTAGCCGGATCAGTTTAAGGGGGGATGTGTTCATCGACCCTCCAAGGCTTTCGATAAATTTAGTCACGGTAAAATAAACTAACTTGCTGTGCAATTGACTTGCGCTGCAAGATGACCATATATTTTGGATGGCGCTGACGTCGTATGACGTCATCAGATCCGTCCTCTTTAATTGTCCATTTTACAGTTGTGTGCTTGGTTAGCGGCTCCTTCTCAACTGTGTCATGTGTAAATCAGTATTACGCTCTTCAATCTGTTCAGTGCACGGTAAAGATCAAACGCGTGAAGACCATCCACAGCGCGACAGGCCAATTTTTGCGCACATCGGATAACCTGGCATGACCCCAGTCCACCAGTTTAATATCAAAGATCGTTGCTCTTGTAACGCAATCTTTCTTTAGTCGAGGAAGTAATGCGTGACGAGTAAATATCAAATATCTTTTGCTCTCTCATGTTATATTTTACTTAAGTTGTCGTTACTTTGCATAAAAATTTACTCGTATGAATTTTACTCGTATTTTTTTACTCGTATGTATAGGTATGTACCCGTATGTTAGTCGTATGTTAGTCGTATGTATCCGTATGTTCCGTATGTTACTCGTATGTTACTCGTATGTTACCCGTATATACTCGTATGGTGTTTTAGTCATGATCGGTTCAACTGTAGTTGCTTTCTTATTTCACAACTGAAAAAGCATACTCACCAATACGCTTTATTTGTTATAGTGGCTTTTGCGTCTCAAGACGGAAAATAACGAAGCCCAATTTGTAACTTGGGCATTCCACAGGAAGCCCGAGTAAAAATGTTCTTCCTGAAAAAAAAGGAGTGTATATAGCCACAGCGATCCCTACAAATTTAGGTATAGGTTGCAAAATGAAGGGTAGATTCTTCGAATCTGGTTTCAAGCCTGATCGAGTGACTCTGTTTTAGGGAGGTTTCGGGGCGAGCGAAACGACCACCCTACGCCTTTGCTGTAGGCTACCTCGAAGTAGAGTTCTATTAAACAATTTGTGATTTTTTCTTGCCCCTCGAGATCACTTTCTTTTTTCCATTGTACATAGATTATGGCGAGCTGGATTCAGGAGACTTACAGTAGTATTTTCAGCCAGAATTACCAGCTGGCACTTAAAAAGGCATTTGGCCACTTCATGAATAGTCTAACTGCGATGAAAGTTCACACCAGAAACAACAGTTTTTCTTTTGACGTGTGCGTTGGTTTGAAGAAGAGAATGTTTCACCAATTAATGGACGAGCACGAAGTACCAAAACAGAAACAATACGCGTCAAAAGGTTTTTCGTTGCCGTATGTGAACGAGGGAGGCCGGATAAAGCAGCGACTTATCCTGTACGTCAAATCAAGAACGGAGAGGCTTAAGTATGACGTGCTTGTGGCTCAGGAGTCCTCGTGGACTTCCTTGAATTGGAAAGGGTAAACGTCTAAACGTTACATGTTTATCTAGTTTTGCTTATGCTTTCTGCGTAATAGTTCAGACAATGAACAAAACTGCTTCCGCTCTATAATTTAAGTTTATCAACTAGGTTGATAATAAAGATTGGCGCCATAAAGACTTCTTAAAGCTGACGTTTCGAATGTTATTCCTTCATCAGAGCTAATGGACGAATTTTTAGCTGTGTGCGTTTTGTATGTTTTTTATACTCGCTTGCTGACAGCGAAGAGAGTCTCAATGGGATAATGGCTTTTACGGCTAACGGTTAAAATTTTGACCCTTTTACAATTAACTTCCTTCATCATGTTTGTCATTAAAGTAAAAAAGTTTCCGGATAACCTTTTAACGACTAATGGTTACAACGTTTCAGTTTTTACGCCTTCAGATAATTTTTTTTTGGCCGTTTTACGGCTGACAGTTAATCCATTTGAGAGGGTCTGGATGGTATTAACTGACAACTGAATAATGGCAAAAATTTTAACTGACAATTGACAAATCACTGAGAAACCAACTGACAACTGATATTTGCGGTGAGCTTTTACTGACAGCTGACAAAAGGCTGGATCGCAATAAATATCCTAAAAACTTTATATGAAATATGGATAGTTGATGTATTTTGTCCAATAAAAGTACATTTTTCATAACATATCAGTAGGAGTACTCCCGAATGTCATATTTTGTTAATAATTACCGCATGGACCATCTACGTCAAGGTCATATGTCACATATCGGTTTGATACCCAACTCGATTGTCAACCCTGCGATGGCCGTCAATGCTGGTATTTTAAAGGCTGTTGTAAGCTTTTATCAAATTGATTCGGAAACGGCATTTTAGCGTCTGGGAATGTGTCACATGTCAAATCTGTTGAGGAATGTATTTTTGAAGAAGCAGTTGTTGAGATGCGAACATACGCAGACGAATGTGACACGGACTCACAAAACTACTTTTCTGGTCGAAAGAGTAAAGATATTACCCTAATTCAGTACGGTTTCAAGATCCGGGCGGCCAATTCGCGCCCATTTTTCGCTTGGATTTCTAAGGCACTCTTACATTAGAAATCTCTAATAACCTAATTGAAAGGTAGACAAAATTGCCAATCGTAATCGAAGTATTGTAAAACAAAACATTAAACCAATATCTGTTGGAAGGAAGATTGTCTTTCTGACGATCTTCTTTCCACCATTTTGACCGGCTAAGAGGTTGAAAAGGATTGTTTCAATGTTGCGCTCGGACAAACAGAAGTTTGCGTGCACACTGATGAGTTGTAACTTACTTCAACACCTTTCAAACAAAAACTGAAATTCACTTCGAAGATCTTGGAATTATTTCATTCCAGAGCTTTGAGAAAGAGGAGTTCTTATTTTATCAATTTTTGACTTCATTCTTGAGTTCACGCTGTATATGAGCCTTTTCAACAAATAATAGGGTCGGAAAGTAATAACTAACTTGCCAAGTTAATTATTAAGAGTCATTTAACTGACAAGTGACAAAAAGCCTAAAATCTAACTGAGAACTGATGAATTTTTGTCCGGGAACAATGAAACCCAGTGGCTTCATGAGAAATAGGTGTCAACGTTTTTGCTATGGAATGTAGAAAACAAACACAAGCCACAATTCCTCCATTCACTCTGACGAAATCTTTACGGTGGCCAATTAACATTATCTACTCAGTTGATAAAACCAAATTGTGTTGTCATTCCCCCACCGACTCAGCACCACAGTTTCATTGGAAAGGTACCCCTTTGCTTCCGCTCTACATTGTTTCCCTTTCAACAAGCATCGTCTGTTTTTTTCTTTGCAGAATTGGCCTTTTCCTGTTTAGTTCACTTTTGGTGTCGGCAGTACTGTTTATGGCTGTTGCTCCTGTCGTAGGAAAAATTGCTGCGGTAATTTTTGTTATCATTTTCGCGACTAGAGCAACAAAAGACCTCAAGCCAGTCAACTTTGAAGACGATAACATCGCGTACTTGATTCAAATGTTGATCGAGGTGGACTGTCTCCTTGAACAGGGAGGAGAACTAGCCTTTGTTCACGGTCGCAATCGCACCATCTTCGAAGGGTTAGGACAATATCGCAGAAACTGAACGTACCTACCGCAATTACCTGTAAATTCTCAAAAACTAGTTTTTTTGTTGCTTGCCTTCAGTGTGCGCCTGCATTTTGGTACTTTTGTTGACCATGAGTAATGAAATTGTAGGTAAATATAGGTGTTATGGTCTTTGTGGAAAATTGGTTCTCGGTACGGTTGGCAGCTGAGTTTGTGTTCGTAATTTTTCTTACGATGGTTTTTTCACGTTGCTTTTCCGAACTTGACTCCAACATCTCATTGATGAGTGGAAGTTTTTAACTGTGCTTCTCACTTTTATTTCCTAAGCTGATTAGCCGTATATTGAGATAGGTATATTTTCAATGT